CTTTTTCTTAGCTGGTTTCCACTGCTTCCTGCACTCTCACTGAGGCACTCAAGGGTCCAGGAGTTGGTGTTTGCCTGCTCCACCACCTGGGTTTCAGGATCTCCTCCTGGTGTGCTAAAGTGGGGCTTTCCACTACCTTGCTGGGATGCCTCCCATTCTGTATTACTCCACTTCCCCCAGAGCAAGAAGGGCCTTTCCTGTTAATCCCTGAAGCTACCTGGGCTACTGGACTGCTGCTCCCCTCCTTTCTTCTCTTTCAACTGTTTTAGGGATTTTCCTGGGGTGATATTTTCTGGACTTTCAGAGGTTGATAGAGAAGGGTGAGAGCGACTACCTTTTTACTCTGCCATTTTGGCTCCCAGAAGCAAAAGCACAGTGACATTTTTTTTTTAAATAATGCATGCTGATACATAAAAATGGGATCAGGCCTCTGCTGCTTTTGCACTGGCCCCCAAAACTAAGAGGAAACAAATTTTATACGTTAAAAACAATTAATCAAATATAACCAATTAAGTATAAGAAAACAGTTAACTGCTTTACCAACCAGGATACAAAATTTGGTAATCTGATTTCCAATTTGTGGAAAGATTAGGGAGTTTCCAAGTGGGGAAATAGAAGGCAAACAGGTATAATTCCCTGGAATACGAAAAAAAATGATGGTCCACTCCCCTAAATGCCTGTAAACTATCCAGGGAATGTGGAAACAATAACTGTATGGGGCCAGGTTTCAGATAAAACAAATGGGTTACTTGAGATGGATAACAGAGAAATCTCCTTGCATGAATCTATGTATCTGACCAGCTTTCTTGTCAGCATAGTATAGGTCTGTTGTCAGGTGTCTCTACAACCAGGCAAAAGGGGTACCACTTCCCAGACGTACAGACCCAGGCTCATACAATGCAATAAGCTTTTTTTCATAATTTCCATAACTGAATAAAGTGTTCTCACGAGAGAGATATTAGCTAGACTCATAATTGAATAGAAATGAAACTGAGAGAGCTCCAGAATTGAGTCACAAGATGGAGTCAATGTGGTTCACTCAGTTGACACTACCTCTTCATGTTTTTAATCACACAATTCCCTTTTTTTATTTAGGGACTAGGGACCAGTCCATTCCCTCCATGGATCACTTGTCTATAAGCCAAATCTAAAAGGTTTTTCATATTTTCACATCAGGATAATATAATCAGGGCATAAAAAAACTACTCAGAGGGCTCACAATGGATATATACATATATATATTCATATACACATGTGTATATATATATTTTGAAGCAGCAGTAACCAGGAGTAATGGGAATATGCTATTAGCTTAAGTATTTTTTCTATTAGTTTTCTTCCTTTTTTGGGTAATTTTAAAATTTATTTTAAACTTAAATGGAAAATGAGAAAAGAAGAACAGCTAGGTGGTGCACTGGATAGAATACCAGCCCTGGAGTCAGGAAGACCTGAGTTCAAATCTGATCTCAGGCACATGATATTCACTAGGTGTGAGACCCTGGGCAAATCACTTAACCCCTATTGCCTTGTCCAAATAAATGAGAAAAGAAAATTAAAAAGAAAAAAAAAAAACATTGCCATGCATACGGCAGAACATAAGATAGTTTTCCATACAAAACAATAAATTTCCATTTCAAGAAAGCCTATACAATAAACACTACAAATGATTTTCAAAGCTGCCCAGCTTTTCTTTGCTTCATTGTAGGTTTTCTTTTGTTCTCTGCTGTGTACTTTTTACTTTATTTCCTCCCTCCCTTCACCCCACCCTAAAGAAGGCTACAATTAAGCTGATGTGTATATATATATATATACTCATACTCATATAAGACCATACTATGCTTATTTCCACTTGGCATCTGTTTCTCTGAAGGTAGATAGCACCTTCTTACATAAGTCCAGGTCTTTTCATGTTCTTCTAAATCAACCAGCCCATCATTTCCTACATCACAACAATATTCCAACCCAGTCACATCCTATCTGAGATATTGTCTATGAAAGTATTTTTTTTCCCCCAGTTACTCCAAGTTAGCATGGAGGTGCTTGCACTTCACTCAGGCTGAACCTCTGCCTCCCAGAGGTCTGATTTTTCCTGGGATCTTCTCAAATTGTCTTAGGATAAAAGCTGCTTTACCTTGACTTCTGTTTATTGCTGCTGCCCAACAATCTCTTTGAGGTGATTTTTTTTTTGGTGGAGAAAATTTGTGGAGCCAAAAGTTTTCTGACCTACTCTGACATCTCCCACAATGAACTGATTTTGAGAGGGGAGATTTAGGTCACCAAGGTAACCAAGAAAACTCATCAAGCATAAACACTGTGAAACAAAATGCTAAAGCAATATAATGATGATCATCAATATTATATAATATCAAGGCACCTTTTATCCTAGTAACCTACTCTCAATGCCTATTTAATTAGATCATCTTAAGTCCCAACTATTCCACATAGTCTTCTGAGCCTCGGGCAGGCTTTCTCTTAGAAATTTTGGAATTGGCATCATTCCTAGGGCAGCTCTGAAAGGATCTCTGGCCTCTGGTTCCAAATTATTTTTTATTTGAATTATTTATTTATTTTCCCACTTAATATCCCCACTTAATACTATTTTATTTTTTCCAATTACATGTAAAACAGTTTTCATCATTTTTATAAGATTTTGAATTCCAAATTTTTCTCCCCTCTTCCCGAAAAGGCAAATAATCAGATATAGGTTATATATGTACAAGCATATTGAACTTATTTTCATATTAGTAATGTTGTGAAAGAAGAATCAGAACAAAAGGGAAAAAAGAACTAAGAGAAAGGAAAAAGTGAAAGTAGTAAGCTTTGATCTGCATTCAGACTCCATAGTTATTTCTCTGAATGTGGATAGTATTTTCCATTATGAGTCTTTTTGGAATTATCTTGGATGATTGTATAGCTGAGAAGAGCTAAGTCTATCATAGCTGATCATCGCACAATGTGGCTGTGACTGTGTGCAGTGTTCTCCTGATTCTTCTCACTTCACTTAGCATCAGCTCATGTAGGTCTTTTCCAACACCACAACGGTATTCCACTATATCCATTATGTTCATGTGCTATAAATTGTTCAGCTAGTTCTTAATCGATGGACATCTCCTCAATTTCCAATTGTTGGTCACCACAAAAAGAGCTACTATAAATATTTTTGTACATGTGGGTGCTTTTTCCTTTTTTTTATGATCTTTTTGGGATAAGAGACCTAGTAGTGGTATTGCTGGATCAAAGGTCGTGCACAATTTGGTTGCCCTTTGGGCATAGTTCCAAATTGCTCTCCAGAATAGTTGAATTTAGTTGACAACTCCACTAGTAGTAATGCACTGTTACTACTAATACTACTAATACCAATGTAGTATCCCAATTTTCTCACTTCTCCAAAATTTATCATTTTCTTTTTTTATCATATTAGTCAATATAATAGGTGTGAGGTGGTCCCTCAGAGTAGTTTTAATTTGCATTTCTCTAATCAAAAGTCAGTAGAGCATTATTTCATATGACTATAGATAGCTATGATTTCTTCATCTGAAAACTGCCTGTTCATATCCTTTCACCATTTAACAATTGGGGAATGACTTCTTTTAAATTTGATTCAGTTCTCTATGTATTTGAGAAATGAGACTTTTATCAGAGAGACTGGCTGTAAAACATTGTTTCTCAGCTTTCTGATTTCTTTCTAATTTTGGTTGCATTGATTTAGTTTGTGTAAAACCTTTTTAATTTAATGTAATCAAAGTTATCCATTTTGCATTCCATAATGTTCTTTCTTGGTCATAGATTCTTCCCTTCTCTATGGATCTGACAAGTAAACTATTCCTTGCTCTCCTAATTTGCTTATGGTATCACTAGCATTAGGTTGTTGTAAACATCTGTTGATGCCAATATACAAATGAAATGGTGATATTGAGTGGAGTACCCCATGTATATATTATGGGTAACTCATCATTCTTCTTTCTACCTACTACAGATTACTACTTATGTATTCTTAGCCCAATGTCTATGGGAAGAAAGGTATTTTTCCCTAATATTTCCAAAATAAAGACTAAATTTGCAACATCTCTCCAGTTGACCAATGAATTATCTCTAAGCCATAATACCATTTTATTAAATGTTACTTATTTAATGACTCAGAGAAACATCTTTTCCCATAAGCTTTTACTTGTATCTCTCTGTATTTCACTTTCTACCGATCTCATAAGCTTAAATAAACCTCAAAGTTAATGATTGTATAATATAATAGCAAACAATAAAAAAACAACATTGTATCCAAAATATAAGATACAGATGCTGTGAAATGATAGTGCCTGCGGCTGGAGAATACACATATACACAATAAAAGTATAATGGTGACGAGTGGAAAACATGAAGGAGACAGGTTTCAAATCCTCACGAAACCGTGGAAACTAGGGAACCATTGTCATATGTGAACGATATTGTTTCTGATTATAAAAAAATAAAAAATATATATTTATGCATATTATTTTAACTGAAGAATGTTTTATTTCCATAAGCAGAATCATGTACCATACAGAACCCAAAAGACTACGGTTATAATCTTGATTTAAAATAAATGCATTAGAAAAGTCTTTTTTCGTCAAATTCATCATGTGGCCTTCATCTAAGAAAAAATGATGGAAGAAATTATTTGAATGTCTCATTTCTATTGTGAAAATGTATGATTATCCATAAAGTAACCCCTTAAGGACCATTGCAGGTGGATAAATGTTGGGATGCGATTATAGAAAGTTTAATTTTTTGTTTAATAAACAAAGGATAGGGAATCAATACTTTTACTACATTATTTTCTCCATATGAGGGGATATGAAGATACTAAAATATGTGTCTTATTAAGCCTTCTTGTCCTTCTGACTAGGAAGGAGCAAAAAACTAGTCTGAGTTCTGTGTGGAATGACTAAAACTGTGCTTTGTTAGAGATATAAAACTATTATCTACATGGGATATACTGGGATTCATTTTCTGTCTGTTCGCAGATGCAGAGCAGTGTCTGCAGTGCTCTGAATATCAATACCCAAGCAAGGAGAAGGATAGATGCCTTGACAAGACTGTGACCTTCTTGGCCTATGAAGAACCTCTTGGAATGACTCTGGCTTGTCTAGCTCTCTGCTTCTCCCTCCTCACTACTCTGATCCTTACAGTCTTTGTGAAGCACAGAGACACCCCCATAGTCAAAGCCAATAACCGCAGTCTCAGCTACACTCTTCTGATCTCCCTCAGCCTCTGCTTCCTCTGCTCTTTGCTCTTCATTGGCCGTCCCAACACAGCCACTTGTCTCCTGCGTCAAACCGCATTTGCAGTTGTGTTCACAGTAGCGATTGCCTCCATCTTGGCCAAAACCATTACTGTGGTTCTGGCCTTCAAGGCCACAAATCCAGGGAGCAAGCTCAAGAGGTGCCTGGGCTCCACTGCATCATATTCTCTTATTTTGATCTGTACTCTAATCCAAATGTGTCTATGTGGCATCTGGCTTGGGACATATCCCCCATTCCTGGAGGTAGATGTACACTCTGAGCCTGGCTTCATTGTCATTCAATGTAATGAGGGCTCCATCATTTCCTTCTACTGTGTCCTGGTTTACCTGGGCTTCCTAGCCTTGGGGAGCTTCACCATGGCTTTCTTGGCCAGGAACCTGCCAGACACTTTCAATGAAGCAAAGTTCATGACATTCAGCATGCTTGTATTCTGCAGTGTCTGGATATCCTTTCTGCTCACATATCAGAGCACCAAAGGGAAAGCCATGGTGGCCATGGAAGTCTTTTCCATCCTGGCCTCCAGTGCTGGGATTCTCATTTGCATCTTTGCTCCCAAGTGCTATGTGATCCTTCTGAGGTCAGACAGAAATACCCTGCACATACTGAAAATCAAAGCTAATACATCAGAAGCAATTTGTTCTCAGCTCTTCCTCACAAATCACATGAAGTAGCTCCAGAACTTTTATAGCCTTAATAAAATATTGCAAATACATCTAGCTTATATACCTTCTATTTTTTATCATCATTACTTTTTTATTTGAATCTAGTATACTTTTGAAAGGAATCATGTTACTTGATTTCTGAAAAAGATAGAGTTATATCAGTTGTGTTGAAATATCATATATTAGAGACATTTAATATATAAATGACATTTTCAAGCAATAGTGGAAAAAATCAATGAAGTAATGATAAGATCACTTGGTTTTTAATTCTAACCTTGAATAATTTTTTCCAGCATTCTGAGTCATTTGTTTCTTATTTACAAAGTTGGAATTATAATCTTTCCTCAATTTGTATATCTGAGTTATATCAGTCATTACATTTATGAAATATTATTAGCTGAACTGAACATATGAAAGAGAGCAGTTTTGTTGCAGAATGTTTAAGGCCCAATCTATTTGCTTAGCAAGTTGATTTGTAACTGATGAACAAGTATAAGAATTTATTACACCTTCCATTCTTTTCCATCAGTTGTATAACTCTAGAGTCAAGGTCTATTGTAGAAAAATTTTGCCAAAGTCCCATTGTTCCCTTATAATTTGTTTTGCTTATTTTTGTCCTTCAGTCTTGAAGTGGACCAATAATATCTTGAGAGTGATATTTTGTGGGTGAATTAGTTTTAAGTGAGGAAGAGACGTACAAAGTCATCAGCCTCACTCTCTCCTCCAAAGACAAAATTGGAAACTATTAACTGACATTTAAAAGAATTCTCTAAATCACTAGTAATGAGAGAAATCAGAATAAAAACAATTGGAAGCTTCATTTCACACAGCCAACTGGGGAAAAAAGAGAAAAAGTTGGACATAACTAAAATTGGAGGGGAGGTGGGAAGACAGAGTGATACATTGTTAGTAAAGCTGTAAATTAGTTCAAGTATTTTGTATAAAATTTGGAGTTATCTAAATAAAGTAAAGAAAATGTCTTTTGGTTATCAATAATTTATTTGGGAAAGAAACTTCATTAATGATAAGAAACTTCTGATAAAAAAGGGAATGCAGGCTAAAATCAATTAGGCTCAAACAAATATCTAGCACCATTTTCCCCAATTAAAAAAGGATATATGAACTTAATATAAAGTATCATTTGGTAAATATTAGAAGAGAGATTCCCTGAGATTCCTTTAACTCAGAGATTCCTTTATTCAGGTTATATCTTAAAGATTCCATTGAAAGAAGGAAAAAAGTCTTGATGCACACTAAAATACTTATAGCATAACTTTTTAAGATAGCAAACATACTGGGAACAAAGTTGATGCTCATTGATTTGGGAATGGTTAAACAAAACATGGTGTATTAGTAAATGGAATATTATCGTGTGGCAAGAAATGAAGATGATAAATGAGGAGAAATATGGAAAGATTTATGTAAATTGAAGCATAGTGAAGTAAACAGTGTTAAAAATGTACAAAATAACTAAAATAATGTAAATGGAAAGAATAACCAGGATAGGACAATCAAAAGTGCATGGTGGGAAATTACGAAGAACAAAGATATCTCCAAAAACTTATGGGAGTATACCTCTGCTCCATTATTTTTTTTTTTTGCAGATGGGAAAGTTTTGTTGGTGGGTTACATGTTTTTATGTATATATTTTTATATTTTTGATTGATTTGATTTTGTTTATATTTTTGTGTCTTCCCTCTTTCATTTTTGAAAATTTTATTTTTATGTCCATCTGAGAAGGATTGGGGGAGATATATTGGGTGAAGTTAAGACAATGCAAAGAAGAAAATGGATAGTGTGCTCATTCTAGAGTCAGGAAGACCTGAGTCCAAATATTACCTCTACACTTACTACATGCTTGACCTAGGGAAAGTCACTTAGCCACTGTTTGCCTCAGTGTCCTCATCTGTTAAATAGTGATACTAGCATTCACCTCCCAGGGTGGTAAAGTGCTTAGCACAGTGTCTGCCAGATAATAATCACTATACCTGTTGTTAATTCATTTCAGTCGTGTCTAACACTTTGTAACCCGATTTATTATTTTCTTGGCAAAGATGTTAGAGTGATTTGCCATTTCTTTCTCCAACTCATTTTAAATATGAGAAAGCTGAGGCAAGAGTGTTAAGTGACTTGCCTAGGTCACACAGCTAGTAAGTATCTAAGGTTAGATTCGAACTCAGGAAGATTAATCATCTTGACTCCAGGCCTTACACTCTATCCAAGGCTGCCACCTAGCTACCCGACCACCGTATAAATGGTAGTTGTTATAATTATAATTACTACTTCTACTACTACTATTACTATTAATAGGGAAAATGGCACTTTCTTTAAATGATAAGTAATATCTATCTAAACCAAGAGCCAGGTTTATCTGTAATGAGAACAAGCTAGAAGACTTGCCAATAAGATTACAGCTCAAGTAATGAATGTACTACAAGAAATGCTAGCTTCAACAATAAGAGAAAACTAGATTAAGGAATAAGCATAAGCATATAGGTAACAAATGAATAAGGGAAAATATATTTATATAAAACTATTTGTAGCAGCTCTTTTTATGATGGCAAATAATTGGAAATTGAAGAGATGCGCGTCAATCGGGGAATGGCCGAATAAGTTGTGGTATGTGAATATGATGAAATACTATTGTGCTATAAGAATTGACAAGTATGATAATTTCAGGAAAAAAAATACTTGGAAGGAATTACAAGAATATACAAAGCAAAGTGAGCAGAACTAGGATAACATTGTATACAGTAATAATAATAATTTATGATGATCAACTGCGAATGACAGCTGTTTTTATAAATACAAGGATGCAATATGAGGAAGGAGTTATGATGAAAACTGCCATCCATTTCCAGAGAAAGATCTGATGTAGTCTGAGTTCAGATTGAAGCAAGGGTTTGGTCTTGGTGTAAAAAGCTAATTGTTGGAGATTTTATTTTTATATACTTGCAAATTCTCAGCAAGACAAAACCCAAACAAGCTTTTTGGCAAGTTTTTACATGAAAACAATAATCCAAAATAGCCAAATTATTTTAGCAGTAACCAAATTATGAAAAGTTGCTTGATATAACGGATACAAAAAGTTCACCAAATTGAAACTTGAAACAAACCCATTACTAATCAGGTGACTTAAGTATTGTAAAATGCATTTCCAAATTACTTTACATGGAGAATCAATATCTCATCATTAACAGTTAAAACTACAACTTTAAAAGAACGTGCTTACCCAAGTTCAGAGACTAGCTTCTTTACCTTGAGCAGAATTTACTGAACTTGGATGATGCTCTCAGGCAAAGGTTGCCCCAGGGCCCAAGGCCATTGCCAGTTGGGTACATGCTATAGGTGGCAAATTCAGAGGTGGTGGGGGGAGGGCGAAACTCTCTTCTCCTATGAAAGGGATTACAGATAACCTATTAAATCAAAAGAAGGGAGTAGGAGAATGGAGTGACCAGGGTTGTAAGGAGCTGTTTCAAAACTCCTTAATGAAGGACAGCTAGGTTGCACAGTGGATAGAGCACCAGCCCTGGCATCAGGAGGACCTGAGTTCAAATCTGGCCTCAGACACATAACACGTACTAGCTGTGTCAACCTGGGCACGTCACTTAACCTCATTGCAAAACAACAACAACACAAACAAACAAAAAAAAACCCTCCTTAATGATTAATCACAAAACCTCCAGAATCTGCTAAGAGATTTTTAACTGTTCTAACTTTTCCCTACAGCTTCCGTTAAGTAGGATTCAGGGGTGTAGAGGGAAAGAGCGATTAAGCCTCAGGGAACCAAAAAGCACCTGCAGATTTCCCAATTCTCTAGCACTGAGAAAATTGACAGGATTGGGCTTAGGCTTCCTGATAGGGTGTCCATCTTTGTCCTCTATGCTGTACCCCAGGTCCTTGGCCTCAAACAGAACCAGCGGACTGAAAACCTGTGAGTATCAGGCTGAGTGCAAGACAGCCTCTTAACTGTCTGCCCAAAAAGCACCTCCAAGCCTTCCTAGGTGCTTTGAGAACAACCCCAACTGCGGGGCAAGAAAGAAGTGGGGGGTGGGCAAACATACCTTCCAGTCTTGGCTGAAGAAGGACTTGGGAGTAGACAACTTCCCTGTACAGGCCACCAAAATGTTGACTTTAGAGGTTTGGGGTACTGGGACCCCAAAATCATGACACATGAGTCCTGCCTGAATGAATTGGACCCAAGATTTCTTTCAGCCAAAGACAAGATTTATTAGGACATCCATCATATTGGGCAGACTCTTAAGGAATCTAAGCATTAGTAATGCTAATGCAAGAGGGCCAGATCTTAAGAATCTGAGCTTTTGGTTGGATTTTAAGAATCTGAGCTTTTGGCTGGATTTTAAGAATCTCAGCAACGGCTAGATTTTTAGAATCTACGCCTGGATAACTTCTTTTTTAAAATAATGTTTCAAATATTGTAAAATACAAAAAAAATTCTTAGCCCAAATTTTATAAAGGAAAAACAACAGAGGACCAAATTTGGTCCATGGTTCCAAATTTAATCACATGCGCTAATAGTTTGACTATTAGACTGAGCTCAATTCTTCTCGTCCTATCCAAACCCTGCTCTTCAGAGCAAAAAGTTAACTAGCATTTATTGAACATCCACTATGTTCCAAGTACTGTGCTAGGCGTTGCGGATACAACAGAAAGCCACATTCCAATCCATCTACTAATTTTGTTCTTGGAATGAAACTGGTATTAGCTAGTAAATTTAGGGTCACAATATTGTGTTGATTAAACATTGCAAGATAAATTCCAACTCTGATTAAAACGGTGAGATGGTTTTTAAATTCTTTGTATGTATTAGCAAGTGTATATTCCAACAAAGGTCTTATAAAAGAAAATCTGTGTGAAGATCATCACTGATTAAATACATGGGTAAAATAGGAGGCGGCTGGATCACAGGGTAAGAGTAGCTTTAACTGATGAAATGCAAGTGTGCTCCGTTAGGAACTTTGTGATGTTGGGAGAAACTAGAGGAACATTCCAGGAAATGAGTTACTCCCCCAGTGGGGAACTGAAAAGAGGGCATGGACAGCAATCCCCAGGATGGGTTGTCATGCCTGGGTTGTGATCTCTGTTTAAGGAGGGGAAGCCCACAGTGAGGAGAACACACATTTTTTTGTGATATTGTGAGTCTTGTCTTTAGTACTTTCAAAATGTTTGGCTGAGTATCAATACTCGATGAATATTTAATGCTGAGAAATTATTTAACCTTGGTGTTGGCCTAGTGAGAAGGAAAGTGAAGAGTCTGGATGGACACCAATTCAAATAAGTCAGTTGAGGTTCAACTCACTTCAAACTCCTATTGTGTTGCTGTACAGTCATTGGCAGTCATCTCTGACACTTTGTGATACTGTTTAGGTTTTCTTGGCAAAGATATTGGAGTGGTTTGCTATCTTCTTCTCCACCTCATTTTACAGTTGAGGAAACTGGGGCAAATGTGGTTAAGTGACTTGCCCAGGGTTACACAGCTAGTTAGTTTCTTAGGCCAGATTTGATCTCAGAAAAATGTCTTTCTTTCTCTGGTACTCTATTCATTGTGCCACCTAGCTGCTTCATTCAAATCATATACATTTTCTCAGTTGCCTATGGGAGGATTATTCTATGGAACCCAAGGTATCTAATAGTGAGGTAACAGACAGACTTGTAAGGAATGAGACTTAGCCTCAAAACATTATTTAAAGTTCTGTTTTTATTACTCTTATTCATTCATTCACCAGAGATTCAGAGTGTACTCACACTGGTCCCAGAATCTCGGGGGAGCTTGCAGGCCTAGGGCTTGCTACTATCATTCACACTTTCAGCCCTTGTCATATCGTGCAAGCCTCTACCTGATGCAATATCTGGTAATTTTGAATCACTGCAGAGATCTGGCTTGGTGAGAATGAAAGCAGTAAAAATCATAATTCCCTTCACATTCTCTGGAAGGCCCCTGAATCTTAGCTTGAGAATCTAGTGGACATCTCAAAACCTATGGAAGCCACAAAGGTTCAAGAGACTGAAAGCAGAGAAGGTGATTCCCAAACTTATTTTTTCACTTGAGTTTTTACCTCGAGATGGAAGATGCAGGTGCAGAGTTACTGGGCAGGATGGTCCCTAGAGACCCTCACTCTTAAACTCTTCTCAACATATTTGTTAGACTTGGACCCAAGAGATGTGAAAGTGGACCACTTTTCCTTATCTATCCACAGGGAACAAGGAGAATAGTATCCAGGAGGCAAAAACATTCCATAAATGGGCCCTACTTTTTCTAGCTTTTGCCTTTGTCCTAAACAGAGGCCTGTCTCATTACATTTTCCTAAGCATGAGGAACTATTAAAATCTTGAGCATCTATTAGGGAAGAAAAATATTGAGCAAAAGAGAATGTGTCTATAGATGTGTGGACAAAAGTCCAAATTATTTTTTATTGTCCTGCTCCTTGGCTATTTAGAAATTCAAAATATTTGCCACGAGCATAGCCAAACTGGTGCTCTCATTCTCTAGGAGATTTGTAATCTTGCTTTCGCAGTTTTTTCTTTCTGAGTACGAGATGGCCGAGCATCCTTGTCACTTCCAAAAAAGATTATAGTCTCACATATAGAAAGGAAGGGGACTTAGTCATAGGGGGCTTCTTCTCATTTTTTCTGCAGTTTCAGCAACGCAATGATCAGGCATCCTTCAAACATTTTCCAACCTGGACTGGTGCAGCACCACGGTAAGATATAATGTCTGTATTTTTTTTTCTGATTGAGTGAAATATAGTCATACATACTTATGACTGTCTGCAATTATGGGTAGAGTTGTATTTTATTTGTCTCACAACTTTGTGTAAAGCAAAAACCTGGGTTTTGAAATTTCTAGAAAATTAGTTCTCAGGAAGCTGATATAGGCTTTATTCTTATGCAGTGCAGCAAACAGGTGAATAAGAACATATACATAACCACACTATATGCCAATATAAATAGTCAGAGATTCATCACCACAGATGAAAGAAACTCACCCAATACAAGAGTTAGGGAGACAAGTCAAGGGAGGAAATATAAAGTTGGGATTCAAGTAGCAAAATTATGTTCCCTGAAAATGGACTTGGCTGAAAACTGGTTATTGGTGACAAATATGAGAGGAGACATTCCTAATCATACCCAGATATGAAGAAGTTCTCAGGGTCCCTTATCACTGCAAGGTTTGGGTGAGGCTTGGATAGAGGGAATTTTGGTATGTTTATAGCACAAACTGGGGCAAGGATCTAATGGAACAATCTAAGGCACAAGAGAAGAAAATTAATACAGAACACTCCAGGCACTACGGAGTTTTGTCCAATCAAAAGTTTCAAGCCTTATCTGCCTAACAAAGAATTAACAGGATAAAAATACAAAATATTTGTCTTTGCCTAAGCTCTTATAGACCTTCAGACCACCAAGTCTAAGTAGTTCTATATTGGAGTTCCATAATTATAACTATACTATCAAACTATACCTATAACACCAAACAGTATAAAGTTTACAATGACCACAAATGCCATGTATATAAAACCATTGATAAGCTTCATTAATTGCATTAAGTTTTTCCATGTTCTATGTCTAGGAAATATGAACCATAGGGCAATGTCACTCAAATACTCTAAGCACAATGTACAGGTTATGGATTAGGCATTCAAAACAAAAAATGACCCTAGCCTCCAGAATTGTGTCATTTACCATCATGACAAAGTTGCCTCTAATTGAGATTATCATTCATGCAAATAATTATTCCTTTGAGTAATGACTGATCTTTTTGAACATGAAGAGACTGGTTTAAGATAAATTTTTTTCAGTCTTCATTATTTTTATAAACCCTTTTACTCTGCTTTCTTTCTTTCAATTTCCTACTATTTCCCAACCCTCTGATCCTTGTTAAAATTTAAGGAGGAGACACAGTAATTGGGCCTGATTTTGGACTTGTTCCTGGAAGGTCATCACAATTATCGGAGATAATGGCATTATGTTCTCTTCTAGGATATCTCCAAATTGAGATGTCTGAAATGCACAGTATTTCTCACTCCTCCTGATGATGACATGTACCAAGCAGGTGGAGCTTTACTAAGACCAGGGCATGGGAAGTCTCTGACGACTGTTTCCCCTACTCTCATTTAATTCTTTTCCATTTTGCGTGACAGGACATTACAGCTCCTCATAGTCCTCCGTCAAAATTCTTCTTCTCGGTCCTTCTTCCAATTAAACACCCTTGATTATTTTCTTCTTTTCTGCCAGAATTTCTTCACTTGTCTTTATTCTTATCATACTTGTATTCTGGGAATGGAGAGGGCACTGCATCATTTACATTAGGTTTTGTTGTGATTAATGTGTATTTTAAAACTGTTAATTGTTAGGATTTTCCTTTTTAAAAAGCCTAAAAAGTTTTTACTGATCACTTTACTGTATACAATCAGAAGGAACCAATTCAATTCTACCAAAATATCCCCCAAATGAAATGACTAAAGTATCACTTAAACCAAGGACTGGGTGAAGGACCAGAGAGCAGCTTATAGTATTTGTAGATGATACAGATTTACAAGGGTTTGATCAAACATGAAATGAGAAATTCAGGACAATGGACAGTCTTAGAAGGCTCAAGGATGGCATCGAATCAAGTAAGAAGACACTTAATAGTGGTAAATGAGTTCTTAATTCTGCCTTCATCTTAAAAAACATAAGAATACCCAGATTGAGATGTGGTTACAATCAGAAAAAATTTGAAGGTTGTGGTAAGCTATTAATTGATTTAAAGCGAGGAATTTTCTTCTAGTAACAAAGAATGTGACAGTCTTTGAGTACAACCTTCTGATTAGACCACTTTTGAAGTATTGTGTTTACTTTATGGGCACAGCATTGTAGGAAATCCTACAAAAAAAAATTGGAGAGGAAACAGAAATAGGCAAGAAGTAAGGTGAAATGCCTTGAGTTAATGTCACCTACAAATCAGTTTGAATGAATCATAATGATTTAACACAAAGAAAATTAAACGCAGAGAGGACACAATAACTGTCAAGGACCAAAGGCTATTGATTTGGAAATTTCATTTTTTTTTCTGCTTAGATCTCAAGTTTAGATGAAGAAAACAGAGTTAGTATTTGTAGAGACTAATTAAATGTTGATGGAAGGAAACACTTTCTAAAGGTTAAAATTATCCAAATGTGGAATGGTTTCCCTTTAGTCATAGTAAGGTACTCTGCAGAGGGTGTTTTAAATAAAAGGGTAAAGGACCCCTCACCAGGTATGTTGTAGAGATTAACCTTTGGGAGGTATGGTTTGGGTCTTCATAAAGCTTCCAGAAAAGCATTTTGAAAGCACAAGAATGTATACCCACATCACATCTCTTCTTTGGGCACAATAGAATGCTATTAGCAGAGCTCACATCATAGGGTTTGAAAACCCTTCAGTTTCTGACCCAGGTGTGACCTCCTTATGGAGGTTTATTGTTTAACATTCCCTTCAAGTACTCAACATTGAATCCAAACTGTCTTACTTGCTACAACCCACATATGAAATCACACCTTCATACCTTTGTCCAGGCCATTATTCATGTTTAGAAGTTTCTTTCATGGGTATTTTGCCATTCAAAACCTTCCTCTTCATTCATAGCTGATCTTGAGTACCATCTACTGTGACAAGTTTTTTTTTTTTCCTGAGCCTTCCAGAAACTATAGTCAGTCTCCTACAAATTACCTTGTATCTATTTTGGGGTATATTGTTTTTAATTTTATGTGTATATATATGCACAGGTTGTTTCCTACCAGTCAAATATAAGCTAGAAATACACAAGATTGCTTAATTTTGTATCTTGATCCCTAGTACATAGAATAGTGATTGGTACACAAAATAGTACTTAGCAAATATATATCTAATGAATAAATAAATGAAAAAAAACTAGAAGAATGAACCAATAGCTGGTGTTCTCCACTGTGGAAATTTTGTGACTATGACTTCCCAGACAGTAACAAACACTTCTATTTGGTCCTTGACAAACACCAACTCCAGATCAATCCCAGCAGCTACTTCAAATACTATTCAGGTGCTGTCAAAAAGACTTGAGAAAGTCATAAGACTTAGCTGGCTCTCTATGCTACAAGGCAATCCATGTACTGCTTCCTAAGTGATTTCCTCTTCTTCTTTCCATAGCAACTATTCAAAATCTTCATTTGCATTTGCAGACTTCCAATACCAACTCATTCTCTACATTCTCAGCTGAGAACATTGCCTTAAAATGTACTTAGAAAACAAAAGGAGTTATTATTTTAATCTACTTCTTGTTCCTTCTCTACAACCAATGTACTATTGACAAAATTTTCCATTCTCTCTTATTTTAATCTAGTTTTTGATGAGATGTATCCAATCACATGTACACTTGAAATTTTGACAAACCTACAGTCTTTTACACTTGTCCTCTTTTTCCCCTTCACTCAACTACTCTTCAAGCATTGATTATCTCTTCTATGGAGTATTGAAATGACCCCCTAATGGTTCTCCTGTCAAATATTTCTCTTTACTTCTGCCAGCCTCCCCACAGCTGCCCAAGTTTTTTTTTTTATTTGTTTTGTTTTGTTGTAAAACACAGCTATTGGCACAAAACTTCCCTGTTTGCTAAAAACTGAGTCACTCTGTGGTACCTCTTTGGTTAAATATAAATTACTCAAGTATTTAAAGCTCTTCATACCTTGGACCCCACCTAAATATCTATATTTATTATCCTTCATAATCTTTAATGGACTTTAATACAGCTTAAGAGACTGTATTTTCCCTCCTATTCCACTTTTCATCTCTCATTTTCATGCTTTTATGAATGCTCTTTTTAACATGTCAGGAATGAAATTTCTCCTCACTTTCTTCTTTTAGAATTCCTAATTTCAACTAGGATTTCAATTCAATTCAAGTTTCAACTCCGTTGACATGAAGCCTTTTCTGTTCCTCCTGGGTTGGTAATAACTTCCTCCAAATAATATTTTGTCACTTTTGCTTCTAATTTACTATAAGGTTACATGAATATGTTTTCTTTGCTTGAGAGAATGTAACCTTTTTGAGGGCAGGAGTTTTTTCACTTTTCTCTCTACATCCCCAGACTTGCAAATGACTGTAACCTAGTAGAGGACTCAAGATTGATTGTCAGCTGATTGAAATCTGTTATTAATTACTTCAGTCCCTGCTCATTGGGAACCCCAGTTTGTCTTTTGGTTTATTACATTATGAGTTTAAGAGCATTTATTTAACTTCTCTTCCTCATTCTCTTTGTCTTCTCTTCAGCCTTTGACAGTATTGATCACTTTCTCCTCCTTGAAACACTCTTCTCTTTAGGTGTTAGTGATCATTCTTCCCTAGTTCCCCTTCTCTTACTGATTCTTCTCTGTCTCCTTTGGTAGATCCTCTTTAGATACACTGACTAAAGGTGTCCTTCAGGGTTCTGTCTCTAAATCACTATGCTACTCCATTTGGATTTTTCATCAGCTGTCATGGATTTAACTATCATCTCTATCCTGATTATTCTCAAATTTATCTATTCTGCTTGAA